TGTAGACCTGTCACATGGGCATATATGCTCATGCACTCACACATGAATGCATGTGTGTGCTCTTGCTCACCTGTGTGGACCCATCCTGTGGGCACTCATATACATGCATATGTGAGTTCACATGTGCAAGCACATATCTGCCTGTGGCCCCATCATGTGGGCATGCACACTTACTCATGCATGAGCATACATGTGCACTTGTATGCATGTACGTGCATGCCTTGTTGGCCCATCATGTAGGTGGCTGTGTATCCAGTGTGCATATGTGAATGTGTATACATGTGTTCACTCATTTGCACACACATGCCCCTGTGTAAACCCATTGTGGGCGCATACAATACACACAAAAACATGTGTGGACACATGTGAATGTACACGTGTGTCTGTGTTAACCTGTTATGTAGGCATATGTGCCTAGGTGAGCACATGCTGCTTCCACACTCACACATAGATACTTGAGTGTACATATGTGCACTCATGTACAGACACCTGTGTGAACCCATCCTATGGGCACACATGAATACACGTGTGCACTCTGTGTGGACCCGTCGTGTGGGCATGCATTTACATGTGCACACAAGGATACACATGTGTGTTCTATGGCTCCGTCGTGTGGGCACATGCTGCTTATGCACTCACACTTGAGTGCCTGGCCGTACGCATGATGGTGGTACACCTGTGTGGGCATATCACATGGGCTCACATTCTCATGCATACATGAATACACGTGTTCACCTGTGTGCACACACATGTGCCTTATGGACCCGTCGGAGGGGGCGGGAGGCAGGGAGGAAGATCCCACCCTGCCCCGCCCAGAGGCCAGCCCCAGCACCGTGACATCCCCGTGCGGTCCCCGACCCGTAGGACAGCAGCGGCGTGTGGCTGGACGGGCCTGGAGGGTCCCGGCTCTGGGAGGAAGCGGGTGAAGGGGCTGGGAAGGGCCGGGCGGCAGGCGTGTGGCAGAAAGATACAAAGTGTCCTTTTATTGGGGGCGCAGCGAGAAAGGGGCCCGAGTAAGCTGAGCGTATTTGGATAAACTTGACGGCCTTCCCCTGAAACGGCCTTTTGTTCCGACGAGAAAGGAGAAGGCGGCGGCACCTCCCGGCCCTGGAGCCGCTCCAGAGAAAACGGAGGTGGGCGCGGGTGCCGGGGCGTCTCGCAAGCGGCCCACGCTCCAGGTCAAATGTTTATTATTATTTATTTTATTTTTTATTAGAACGTGCGGTTAACGCCCTGCTGCCTGATAGCGGTCCAGCCGGGCCGGGAGTCTGTCTGGCCCCGCGGCCACCACACAAAGGCCGCTCTGTGGCCACGCGGCCGGGGACGCCTCCCCACAACGGAGGTGGTGGGTGATTGGAGGGGTCTCCCGGCAGAGAGGAAGCTGCAGCCCATCTGCGCCCCTGCAGCAGGGGGCGGGGGGTGGGCGCTCGGGGGTGGCCCCTCTCCGCCAGGCCCCAAGTGTGGGACGCAGACAGCCAGGTAGCTTTGGGGTCCCTGAAGCGGCCGCACCCCCTCCCAGCTCCCGGCTCCGCTCCACGGATGCCCCAAGAAAACCAGTGTTTCTCCATGGTACCCACAAAAGTCAACCAGGCCGGTCAGGGCGGGCCCTGCTTGAGGCAGCAGCACCCCCTTCCCTGCAGACAACCCGCTGCTCTGGGACCCCATGCCAGGAATTTGGCCACTGTGGAGATGTGTCCAGCGGTGGCCCAGGGGACGGCAGGTCCTCAGTGACCTCCCACACGTAGCAGAGGGGATGGCGGGGGTGCAGGTCTCTGCAGGACCGGGGCTCAACGCCTGGCACCTGGTCCTGCCGCAGGATGGCCCTCACCACGAAGGGACGCAAGGCTCCAGGCCCTGGCCAGAACCCTCAGCCTGAGGAAGCCGGGGGCTCTGCTGAGGAGCCCCTCAGAGCTAGCCTGCAGCCCACCCCTCCGTCAGTGGGGGTGCGCAGAACCCACTTGGCCTGGACTCAGGCACGACAGGTGCCGTGGGCTGGGGCTGTGCCTCTTGGGATCCTGACCCCTGGCTGCCACGGGAGCCCCCTGTGTCCCCCTACGAGGAGCCAGGCACAGTGCTCGGGATATAGACGCTGCCCAGCCTTGCTCAGAGAAGCATCTCGCTGGACGCTGCGCTGGGAGCTTAGGGGCCCTTGCAGCCATCAACACCATGGTGACTTCTCAGAGACGCCACCCGGGAGGCTGAGGGCTGGGAGCACCTCCAGATGGTCCCAGCAGCCCCGGGGCCAGCACCTCCATCCACAGGAAAGCAGGGGTCCCCGCTATGCCAGGCCAGCGAGGGGCCTCTGAGGACCACTAATCTCCTGCTGAGATCCAGGAAGCCAAACTGGATTGGGGTCACCCCCAGCTGCACCCAGCTCAAACTGGGGGACCCTCGGCATGTGTCACCCCCACAGATAGCCCCCGTCCTGCGGTCACCCACTCAGGACAGTGACGGAGCACAGGGATGTGGCATGCGACCCTCCGCTCCAGACCCCCTTTCTCATCACCCCACACTAGCAATGCCCAGAGAAAGTCCCTGCTCAGGACCGAGAGACAGGACAGCGGAAAACGCCCCAGCTCTGTGCCTACACCACACGGCGCTCCCCTGAGCACCGCCGGCTGCCCCTGCGCAGAAGGTGAAGGTCCCTGCCAAGAAGCCCCCCTGCACACTGCCAGTGGGGGACACTGTGATCCCGCCCCCTGGGGGCTGGGGTCTGCTCGGACATGCCATCTAACATGGTCCTGCTCACCCATCGCCTGGGTGAGGCCCCGCCCAGTCCCTCCGAGGGCGCCCGTCACGGGACACAGAGGTGGGCGCCCGAGGCCTATGCAGCACGTGGGCACCTCTCAGCCGCCCTCTGCCCGGTGGGCGCCCAGCCACCCATCACGGTGGGAAGTCGCATGAGGAGGAGGGTGGGCTCAGTCTGGCCCCCTACTACATCTCATCGTCCTATCTGAGGCGTGGGAAAAGCGTTTGCAGCCAAAAGAGGGTTCGTGGGGCGCAGTCTGGAGTCCCCCCCCCCCGGGGCAGAGGCAGTGTTGGGCTCCCAGGGCAGCCGCTCAGTTTGGCGGCGGCCTCCTGGCCGTACCTGGGCAGGGAGGGGCACGGGGTTTGGCAGAGCTTCCAAAGACGGCAGCGGGCACAGAGCCCCTGCCAAGGGCCATGTTTGTGCGCCCTGGGGCAGCGGAAGGGCCCGCTCGGGGCTTGGCACTGCCCAGCTCTGCGGGAGCTGACCCCCCCCCCCCACCGCGGCGGATGGGCAGGGCAGGCTCGGGGACACGGAGCCCGAGTAGAGGAGACGCCCAGGGCGAGACCCTCCCAACGGCCCACGCCAGGGACACTGCTGGGACCCACACAGGCACTCACCCGAGCTAGATGGGCAAGGGCAGCCAGGAGAAGGCGTGGACAGCAGACGCGGGGACACCCCCTCTCACCCCAAAGCCCCTTCACTCCTCTGACCCCCACCGTGCCCTGGGCACCCAGGGGAGAGGCAGGCCAGACTGGTCTCCTCTGGGAGTGAGGAGCAGGTCTGTGGGAGCCCCTGAGAAGGTCGCCCGCGGGGGGCCAGGCAGGACTCCTGGGGTCTGCCAGCTTCACCTTGTCTCCACCCTCTCCAGAGAAAGCCGGAGGGATCTGCTACCCACCGCCTGTCTGTTCACTGAGCCATCCCCCCGTCCACCCACCAGCCCTGACACGCACCTATTCACCACCCACCAATCTGCCCGTCCACTTACCATCCTCTGTCCCACTACCCACCCACCCACTAACCCACTCACCACCCACCCATCACCTACCCACTCAGCATCCACCCACCCACCCACTCATCCTTGCAGTCCCCCAGCCCGCCTGTGAAGCTGCCCTTGTGCCCCGCTGATGTTTTGCTGAGGTGCTGGGGCAGGCCGGTCAGTAGGGGGCTGGTGACACAAGGGGGCCGTCAGAGCTGCCCCTGGCCAACTGAGGACCGCTCGTGCCTCATGTCCAATGTAGCTGAGGCAGTGGCTGCTCATAGCCTCTCCCGGGCCTCCAGGAGTGCAGGATCAGCATGAGAGAAGCTCGGGGTCGCTTGCTGCATGGTGCCTCCGAGGGCAGGGCCGAGCTGCCGGGACTCACCGGGAGCCTGGCTGGGTCTGAGAGGGGCCTGTGGGCAGCTCCTGGAGAGCTCAGGGTGTGGACAGTGCAGGGAGCTGGAGCTTTGACTTCGACTGCAGCAGGGTTCTGGGGCTCCACCTGCAGGGAGAGTGGAGCAGGGGGCAGCATCCTCAGGCTCTGCGGGAGGCCAGAGAGGTCTCCATGGTGACAACCAGTGGTCCGTGGGCAGACTCTGCCAGCACTAAGACTCACCAGTAACCGCCAACTGCAAGGCCTTCTTGAAGGCTGGGGGAGCCAACCACAGAGCACCCAACAGCTTGGCTGGGGAGGGCCTGGGTCTGGGGATGGGGCGGGGCCTGAGGGACAGAGGCGGGGCCTGAGAGGGGAGGGGCCTTGTGACAGGGGCGGGGCCTGAGCGGTGGGGAGGGGCCTGTGGGTAGAGACGGGGCCTTGGGAGGGGTGGGGCCTTGAGATAGGGTGGGCTGGTATCTGTGGGACAGGGGAAGGGCCTTAGGTGCAGGGTCGGGGCCTGTGGGGAGGGGCGGGGTCTGAGGGGCGGGGCCTTGAGATGGGCGGGCCTTAAGGGTCAGGCCTTGGGACAGGATACACAAGCCAGGTGAGCACTGTCCAGACCTCAGGAGGCAGAACCAGACGGTAGCGCCCCAGCAGGGACAGATGCCCCGCACTGCTGTGCTGACTGACCCGTATCGCTCCTGCTTCCGCTGGGGAGCAGAGGCCCAGGGCCACCTTCCCTTGGGCAGGCAAGTGTCTGGGGAAGGATGTGGCAGGCCAGCCAGTGTCCAGAGGCGGAGTAGCCTCCACTCTGAGCCCAAAGAGCCTTTTCCAGCTGGGGGGGGGCAAACACAGAGGCCCGGCCTGGAGGCTTCTGACCGATCCTCTCTCCCCGGCAGCTCTCCGAAGACCTGGGCAGTGACAAGTTTGGTGCGGACATCGGAGCGGCCGGGGCAGGCAGCTGGCTCAAGTACATCCGGGTGGCGTGCTCCTGCAGCGACCAGAACCTCAGCTTGTGCCAGGTCAACGAGCAGGTAGGGGTCGGGCCGCGGCTGGGGCGGTGTGGCATCTCCACCAGGCTTCCTAGCCCGCCTGGGCAGCCAGCCGGGCCTCCACGCAGCTCCTGCCCCTGGCCAACCAGACGGCCAGGAAGCTGCTGGGCGTGGCGTGAGCCGGAGGCCCCGCCCCAGAGAAGCCAGAGCACAGTGTGCCCCGATGCCAACGGCGAGTCCCAGGGGCAGAGGGGACAGCTGGCACCTCCCTGCACCCCGGCTTACCCTCCTGGGGGTCCTGAGGCACCGCTGTGCTTGGAAGTGGGACTCATCCCCTCCACTCAGCTCTCACAGTTGCCTGCGGTACGTGGGCATGAGCTGCCATTTGCACCTTGATGCCACTCGGGACCCTCTCCCGGCTCAGGGGCAGGCGTGGGGCTCGGACAGACAGCATGGGACAAAGCAGACCCCCGCGGTCATGTTGCGTGAGGGACACGTGGGCAGGGAAAATGCACGGGAGCGGGGAGGTGGGGGCTGCCAAGCTCAGAGGATCCGGCCGTGACCAACATGGCCACAGATGAACTTGTCTCAGAACATCTGGAGCAGGTGGGACAGGCCGCTGAAACAGCCGGTGGCCCCCACCGCAGAGCAACCCCCGGGTCCTGTGACCCCGACCTCAGAGGGTCCCCGGGAGCAACACTCACACCAGCAACAAGGTGGAGACCGGCCAGTGGCAGCAGCCCAGCCCCACACCCCAAAATCTCAGTTTGGGAATGCAGAGACAAAGGAGAACAAGCGCTAGTAGGCTCAGGCTCCTCAGGGCTCCAGGAGTCTGGGGGCACCAGTAGCATCCCTGGCATCCCGCAAACCTACACTGGAGTGCAGGGGGCTGCTGTAGCAGGTGCCAAACTGCTTTAAGCATTTCCCCAAACCCAAGGAAACTCCAAAGCAGGAGTCACAGGGCTGAGCTCACCATCTCCACTGGACTCCCCCAAACACACATACCTGCTCGCCACCCCCACTTCCATGCCGCAGGGCTGCAGATCCCTGAGCACCAGCTTTCCAAGGGGACACTCACTCATGTGCTCCTGGACAAAGGGACAGGGCAGAGGGGGCCAGCAGCGATACAGGTTCTGGGGGCCTCCAGAGGTACCCCCAAACCTGCTGTCGCATGCCCTGGATATGGCTGGGAGCCCCCCACCTGCCGTGACCCTGTGGGTGGGCACAGGCTGGGGCACGGCCGAGTACCCCGGCTCACGGCGCAAGTTCTCTGGGCCACAGACACGGCTACACACAGGCTCCTCTGCTGACCAAGTCATGTCCGGCCAGGCGCCTGTTCAGCCAGTGTCCACGAGGGCTGGTTGGGTGGAGGGGGGCTGCCACCTCCCTCTCAGACAGGCGTATGCTGAAACGGGGCCACCTACCCCACACATCGAGGTCTGCAGCTGTCTGCACCTGCTGGCGGCTGCCCCCTGGGGTGCGGATGAGGGGGCAACAGAGGCCCCGTCCGTCCTCCCCCAGGCTGCAGCCGCCCCCACACAGCTGGGAGGAGCCTGCAGCTGTGTGGGCTTGACCGTGGAGAACCCCGTCTTCCTTGCTTGCTTTGGGGTGACTGGGTCCCATCCTGCTGGCCCCCTCCCAGCCCGCACAAACACATGCAGAGGAGAAGCAACAAGTGGGTTTATTTGGGGAGGCGTGCCCCCCAGCCGTTCCCCTCCCCCATACTTTTCTTCTGCAGAATTCGAGAACCCCGCTTGCCCCTGGGGTTCCTTCTCCCTAATTATGGGCCCAGGCTGGTTTACCGTCTCGGGAGACAAAGGCGGGCTGTTTCTGGACGGCTTTCAAGGCTGAAGAAGCCCCCAGACCCCCACCCGCCCCGCTGTCTCCCCTGGACCACAGCCACCTGCTTGCCCTGGGGGGGGGGGGGCGGCGGCGCCCGCTGGACCACGGCTGTCCCCAGCCTGAGCCACGGGTCGGGGAACTTCAGTCCAGGGTCCCTGAACAAGGGCGGGTGTGGGACACGACTGGTGGGCCCTTCTCAGGCCATCTTCCCCACCCCAGACCCGGCAGTGAGGGGGCTCCGGACACACGCAGAGCCCACCCCCAGGGGCACAGGCTCTGAAATGACACCACTGCCGAGCCCCACGGACCCCAGGGGACACAGCGGCTTCCCTGGAGAACGGGGCTGCAGGGCGGGACCCGCACACCAACCCTGACCCGAACCTCGGACGCTCCCTGCTGAGCCCGGGGCGGGCAGGTCCCCCCAGAGGCCGAGGATGGGTCAGGAGGGAGCCCCCCACCCCAGTGCAGCCTCGGGAACAGCCCAGTGGAGGGAGCCGGGAGGGGGCAGCAGTGAGGTGCTGGGGGCTCCAGGAAGGAGGGCAGCGGCCCTTGAACTCAGATACCCCCCCCAGAGCACGTGCCCCCTCCAGGACGACGCCCTCACAACCTCCACTTCCTCACCTGGAAGCTCACACTCACGAACCAGGCACACTCCCGCCCCAGCATGCGAGCGCACATCTACCCGCATGCACGCACCACGCACACTCCTACCCACGTGCGAGCACACACTCCCGCCTACATGCACGCACCACGCACACTCCCAGGCGCATGCGCACACTCCCACCTGCATCCCCGCCCGCACGTTGGGCCACACTTCCGCCCGCATGCATGTACCATGCACTCCTGCCCGCACCACGCACACTCCCGCCCGCATGCGCACACCCTGCACTCCTGCCCGCGCGCGTGCTCTCACACACACACACACACACACACACACATCCGCATGCGCGCGACCGGGGCGCCTGCTGTGCGGGGCTCCGGAGAGCTCCCGAGGGCCCCGGAGGACCCTTCGTCCTGGCCTCCACACACCGCTGGGGCGGTCTGGACGGGCGTTAGCGCTCTGGGCGCTCCCGGCCTCTCCCTGCCCGGGGGGACCAAAGGGCATCGGCCCGCCCGGCTCACCTGTGCACGGGATGCTGACGTGGCCCCGGGTCCGAGCGCGGCGGCCCAGGGGCGCCCTGGGAGAGGGGAGATGGGGCAGTCGGCCTGGCTGCAGAAGGGGCTGGCGCGGGGAATATCGCCCTGGCCCCCGCCCCCGGGAGCCCCTCCGGAGCCCGTTGGGCAGTGTCCCGCGCCGGCCGCGCCCGCCCCGCCTGCCATTAGCCCTAATAACCATTAATTCCCCTGCGGCTCAAAGTCCAGCGCCAGCAGCCGCGCGCCTCCCGCTCGCCCCCACCAGCCCCGCGGGAAGGGGCTCCCAGCAGCCGCGTCCCTCCGGCACTGACCGCAGCAGAGGCCCCAGGTGGGCAGGGGAGAGAGGGACCCGGGTGTGTGGGTGGGGGACGGGCCGCAGCAGAGACCCACTCACCTGAGCCTGCTGCCCGCAGGGGGTACCTCAGCACCTCCCTGCACGCGGGCTGGACTGGGGGGCGCCGGCCGGACGTCCGCGCTCACGGGGACTCTCACGGGTGTGCCCGGGGTCCCTGGGAATGGCAGCAGCACCTCAGGTGTGTCAGGAGCGGCTGTGCCGCTGAGTCAGTTGCAAACAGGTGGCGAGGCTGGGTGCGGGCGCGGTGGGGACCCGGGTGCCGGCTACGGGCCTCCGCTGCCCACGTCCTGCCCCCATCCGCACGCTGGGCACTTGAGCTGGCCCCGTTCTTCCCCGCATAGGGAGCGGCAGGTGGGGGCTGGTCTCACTGGGAGGGTCATAGCCAGATGCCCAGTGGCGGAGGAGTAGCTGACCGGAAGTGCGGGAGGGAGGGCGCAGGGCGGGGTCCCACCTGCCCAGGCACAGGCCCTGAGCCCCAGCCCCAAGCGGTTGCTGGGAGCCCGGCCGGGCCCTGCAAGCCTGACACTGGCCAGGTGGGCAGGCAGCGCCCTCAGGGTCTGGGCATGTGGATGGAGTGTAGGATAGAGCGTGGAGGGACTGGGATGGAGCGTGGACAGACTAGGATAGAGCGTGGCTGCCGGGAGGAGTGTCGGGACTTTCCGGGTCCGTTTTTGGGGCCACACTACAGACTCCGCCACACCCAGCCTGTCCCCAGCCCGACCAGCCTCCCGGAAGGACGATCAGCCCCCCGGAAGGACATCCTGCCTCGGTGCTGCCCAGGGACGGGGTCCACCTGGAGCGGGGGTGGCCGCAGCTTCCTCTTCTCTGCCCCCAGATCTACTACAAAGTCATCAAGGACATCCGGCCCGGGGAGGAGCTGCTGGTGCACGTGAAGGACGCGGCCTGCGCACTGGGCACGGTGCCCCCCAGTCCGGATGGTAAGGCTGCCCGCCCCGCCCCGCCCCACTGGGCCCAGACAGAGCCAGGGGGTGCTCACGCCATGGCCATGGGTGTCCCGGCATGGGGCTGCACCGAATCCTGGCCCTGCCCCTGCCCAGGCAGAAGGGGCAGTCGTGAGCAGAGGCCTTCAGGGGCTGCTGAGGGGTGCGGCTGGGGGGTTGCTCCTTTGGGCCCTCCCTCTCACTGGTGTCTGGCTGGTCCAGGGCAGGCCTGACAGATGGTCCGGCGTCTGTCTGTCCTGCTGTGCATTGGGGCTGGTCCCCACTGTTTCTTAGGCCTTAGGTGGCCCTGGGCTGGTCACCCTCCACCCCACACATCAGAAGGGTTTCCCTTCCCGGCTGAAGTGAACCAACTCCCCCCCACACCCTTGCACATGGAGCTCAGAGCTCAGCTCGGGCCCAGCACCGGAGAAGCTTGGAAGGCGGAGATTTGCATGTTGGCTGTGCCAGTACCCTTGCACCCCAGAAGAGGCTGGGAGCATCCTGGGGGCCGCCATCTGCTCCGTGTGAGAGGGGGTGCTCCCACTCCCAGCCTCCATGGGTCCCTCCCCCTGTCAGGACACACTCGGGCTCACACATCATGCTCACTTATGGCCACCACAGGGGCCCCTGGGACACTGCCGCCTCTCCACTGGTCACTGGGAGCGGGCGGCATGGGGGAGGGCTCCGAAGTGGGGGGTCTGAGGATGGAGCCGGGGGCGTGCGTTTGTGACATGAGAGCGCTTGCAGCACAGGCTTTAGAATCCAGCCCCCAAGCCGACACCCTCCGCAGTTCCCTAATAATTTCGCAAACCTTTGCGGGCTAATTGCTCTGCGCACAATAGTCCAACATCCAATATTTGACTTCTCTTTGCTGTCAAGATCACTCTGGGCCTCCCAGCCGCCACCCCCCACTCTTAAATTCTGAATTGAAGAGAAAGAAAATGCAAAAATGTTCCTCACTAAGATAATTATCATAAAAACTCTTTTATCCCAGCCCGGCTCAATGCACGGCCCTTATCGCGGCAGGAATTGGGAGCGCTCCGAGCTCCTGCAAGATTAGCACACAGACGCCGCCGCTCTGTCCCCCGGCTCTCCGAGGCCATTACCTCCGATTTATTGCTCTGTTGCGTTTCCGCTCTGCCACGGCAAGTCACTGATGGAACTCGAGTGACCAGGCGCGTGGATGTGCCAGGCCGACCTCCCACCCCGCCGGGGGTGAAGGCGGTCCATCCACCCCAGGCCCCTCCAGCTTGAGTGACAGTCCTTTGTGCTGGGGCTGGCCTGACCCAGGAGACGCCTCCTTCTGGCTCCTGGGCAGATTTGGCAGGCAGGGCCAGCAGAGCTGTGGCATCGGAAGACCCAGACCCCAGGCCTGGGAGCTGGGCTCCGACATCCAGCACTGAGCAGTCAGCTGGGCCCTTGGTCCTGCGACTCCGTACTGTCCCCCCACCCCCGCCACACACATACACACACACACACACAAATACACATGCACACACACGCACAAATACACACACATACATGCACACATACACACACATGCACTGTTCCCCCATTGTTCATAGATTTGCTCAAGCGGGCCTAGTAACGTCTTTGTCGTGAGACTTGTTGTTACTGTGTTTGGCATATCCAGTGAGCTTACCAGGCTTTTCCGTGCGGACAAGATACTCTCAGTAGCTTGCCGGGCTTTCCGAGAGGGGCAGAGGAATCGAACCTGGCTCAGCCGCGCTGGCTGAGCACAAGGCAAATGCCCTACCGCTGTGCTATTGCTCCAGCCCATACACATACACATACACATATACATGCACACACTCATTAGCACACATACACACACACACACACGCACGCACACACACCCCTGCTCCCCAGCGTGCAGGGAAGATGCCTTCAGCACACAGAGAAAATAATTTCTGCCCCAAAAAGGTCTTTTTCCCCTTTTTCTTTGTTTTTGGGGCCATGCCCACCACTTGGTGCCCCTGTGTCTGTGCTGGGGTCCGCGTGGGGCATCAACCGCGGCCTTGTGCTTACGCGCTGTCCCAGAAGGAAGCAGCACCAGCCCCAAGACCCCCCTGTTCCCCTCGGCACTCCAGGGGGCTGAGCCGGTCCCAGCCTTGGGGTCTCCCAGGCCATGGAAGTGAGGGGTCCCCAATCCAAAGCAAAACTGAAGCTTTGGGTTCTGGGGTGCGGGGCGTGTCCACTGCCCGTTGTTTCCAAATCAGCCTCTGCCCAGGGCCCCATTCAACAGGGCCGCCTGCACAAGGCCAAACCCACAGGAAGGTCCTGCCTCAGGCGTAGCCCAGCCCGGTCCCCCAGAGCCACCAGTGACCCCCTCCCGGCCCCCACAGTCAGGGCGCTCAGCTCTCAGTGAGGGGCACCCCCACCGTGACCCAGGGCAGGTCGGCCGCCCCCAGGCCCCTCACAGAGTCCCTACCTCAGTTTACCCAGGGATGAGCAGTCACGAACCGGGCCCTGAGTCCCCTTCCATGACTGGCACACCAAGGGCACTGCCACGTGCTGTGCCCAGGGTGGGCTTGGAGACCCTGTGGGGACATTCACGGGGCTGCCTCACCTCTTCCCCAGGCGGTGTAGCTTCCTGCTCAGGCTCCCGAGCACTGTTCCGGGAGTTTCTTTGCCCTCCAGAAGAAGGCCAGGTGCCCACTGGTGTCATGCACCAGCTTGCTGGAGGGTGCCGCGCTGGCCCTCTGGGCGTTGGCTGGCCTCCTGCATGGTGCCAGGCGTCCTGCCACCTCAGGCTTCTGGCTGGAGGCGCCAGGCCCAGCCCCTGGGCAGAAGCTGCAGTAGCCGTGGAACCCCTGAACCCCAGGGCATCCCACTCCTGCCAAGCAGGGGCCACCTCCCTGAGCTCCTGCCTCTCCTCCTCTCTCCCCCTCCCCCCTGCTTCCTCTCCTCACATAAGGAGGCTGCCCTTCCTCTGTAGCTGAGCCCCCAGGTGCCGGGGGGGGGGGGGGATCTTCACACCCTGACAGTACCCCACATGCTCTGCCCCCCACCATGCGTGAGGCCCTTTAGCCAGTGCTCAGTGCCCATCCCAGCCCCCCACACACATGCACAAGCATACACACACATTTGCCACATGCCCACATGTGCCCACATCCACACAAATTCACACACACGTACGTCCACTCACACATGTACCATGCACATATACACACGCACACACATGCATACGCATGTTCACACACGCACAAGCATACACATTCATTCGCCCACATGCCCATGCACGCAACATCTACATTCACACATGCACACGTACCTCCATTCGCACACACACATACCATGCACATACACACACATTCACACATGCACAAGCATACACACATTCGCCCACATGCCTGTGCATGCCCACATCCACACACATTCACACGCACACACATACCTCCACTCACACATACATTCACACGTGTATACACACATTAACCCATATACTCACACATGCCCAAATTCAGACACACACCCACACACTTCACGCAAGTATACACACATTCACCTAAAACCACACACATTCACATATAGCCACACATATCCACACACATTTGTACACGTATACCTCCATGCTTCATGCAGATATCACTCACCCACACAGACCCACATAGTACACAGCCACACATTTCTTCACACACACACACATGCACACACCACTGGCTCATTCCGTGTCCGCTCACACATCGGACATACACACATTCACATGAGCACAGAGACACGTGTTTTCTGCATGTAGCTGGCACGTGAATACACAGCAGCGTCCGCCCACAGCGTGCTGGGGCTGACAGGAAGCTCCTTTATCTGCTCAAAGTAACCAGCATCAGTGTTAAGCGCCAGGCTCCAACGCTCCACAAAAGCTGCTGACGGCCGCACCACGGCCTGACAACAGCCATGTCAGACTTGCTTCATGTTAGGACACAGCTCCGTCTGCACACGCATGACTCCGCCCCAGGGCTGCTCTTTTTGTTTGTTTGTTTTTGGTTTTTGTTTTTTGCTTTTTGGGCCACACCTGGCAATGCACAAGGTTACTCCTGGCTCTGCACTCAGGAATTACACCTGGCTGTGCTCAGGGGATCATATGGGATGCTGGGAATCCAACCCGGGTTGGCCGCATGCAAGGCAAACGCCCTACCCGCTATGCTATTGCTTCAGCCCCCCCAGGGCTGCTCTTCCTCTCCTCAAGCTGCGCTGCCCACGCTGGGCTTTCAGTGCAGGAACATCGGAGCCGCAAGGGCAGGCACGGCTCACTCTTCACAGTCACACGCATGCCCCACTGTGCACACAGCCCTGCATGCGTGCATAGAACCTGCCCTGTGAAGATCAATGTACATGAACATGAAGATCACAGACACACGTGAGCATGAGGTTCAGACACGTGAGCATGAAGATCACACGTGAGCAGAAGGGTCCGACACACGGGAATGTGACGATCACACAAACATGCGTGAGATGTGCATGTTGGTCACGCCCAGGTGAGACTCACACAAGTTCACGAGCGTTCAGACTTACACACAGGAACGCACGCCGTGGGCAGAGGTGACAGAGGGGTGGCAGTGACACTGTCCCCTCACACAGTCACAAGGACACCCACAAACCCAAACACACTGCACTTGGAACCCCGCACCCAACACACATCTGTCACAGCACACAGCATGACTGCAGCGCTGCACCCCACACACCCGCACCCACGCACGCGGCACTCACACCCGCACACACCGGGCATGAGTGTGCCCCCATACTCCTGTGCTTGCCTGTGCTCGGTCACGAGCCCTGCAGGACACACGTCTCTGATCCAGGACAGAGCGTCGTGCTCTGGGCGGGGAGCAGGCACAGTTCTGGGGGTGGATGGGGAAGCTGGAGGCACCCAGGCAGCTGGTGGCCCCAGTGGCTACTGGACCTGGCATGGTGGGCGGTGCCCCCCGTGCACCCCTCTTCACTGCGGCCCTGGTGGTGGGACTTCCGGTGGGCAGGCGTGAGTGTCCGTGGTCCTGGCGCCTTGGCAAAGCACTGGGCCAGGCTTCCCCCTTCACTCCGTGCTGGTGGAAGCAGACTCGGGGTCCCCGTCACCCCGCAGGAAGGATGACGTGTGGCCCATCCCCCCCTGCCTCCAACAGAGGCCCCCACCTTCCGCTGCGGTGCCTGTGACGAGCTCTTCCCGGCCAAGCTGGACCTGCGGCGACACCAGAAGTTCGCGTGTGGCTCTGCGGGCTCGGCGCTCTTCCAGGGCCTGGGGCCCCGGCTGCAGCCCGACAGGCTGGCAGGAGGCCCCGACACGCAGGCCCACGAGTGCAAGGACTGCGAACGTCTGTTCCCCACCAAGTACAGGTGCACCCCCAGCCAGCCCCAGAGGGACCCGGAAACAGGCCCCAGGTGGGCCTCCCCTGGCCCTGGGGACAGCGGCCACACGCCATCTGCTGGACATACGCCCCAGAGGCGAGGACGGGAGGGGTCCTGGGCTCAGGCAGCCAAGCTAGGATTAGGGAGGGGCCTGGCCCTGGGATGCAGTTGCCACTCCAGGCGGCCATCCCCATGCCCAGGCTTGGCTGTGGGTGGCACGGGCCTCGCAACCCCACACCTCAAGAGCTGGGTGGCAAGGGACTCGGGCTGAGGCGCTCCAGGTGCCGGGAGCAAGGCAGAGCCCACCCGGCCTCGGTGGGGTGAGGGGCCGAGCATGAAGCCCCCGCCCGAAGGAACGGGCGAAGGAGAAATGAGCGTTTGGGGCGCGAGCCGCACTCCCGAGGGCCACGTCCTCGGCCATAAACACATAAATCACAATTAGCGCAGGGAGACCGCCCGCCCCAGCGGCTGGCCCGCACGAGCTGACGGCTGGCTGGGCCCGTAATGAGGCCGGGACGCTCCTGGCAGGTCCTGGAGATTAAGCAGCCCTGCTGGGCCAGGAGGCACAAGCAGCCGCTGCGCTCACCCTGCTCACGGCCCCAGGGACCCCCCCGGCCAGTGCAGGAACTTTCTAGACCCCTTTTCGCTGGCCGCTGCAGGGATGCAGTGGGCTGGGAGGGGGCTCAGGTGACCCGACTCTGTCACAGCCTCGAGCAGCACCTGGTGGTGCACACAGAGGAGAGAGAGTACAAGTGTGACCAGTGTCCCAAGGCCTTCAACTGGAAGTCCAACCTCATCCGCCACCAGATGTCCCATGACAGCGGCAAGCGCTTTGAGTGCGAGAACTGCGTGAAGGTACGTGTGCCTCCCCACCCCCCACCCCAGCCCTGTGACTTCTGCCCCCACCTGGGCCCTGCCCTGGTGGGACAAACCGGGCTAGACCTGAACAGCCGGGGCACCGCCCCCATCTCCCCAGGTCTTCACAGACCCCAGCAACCTACAGCGGCACATCCGGTCCCAGCACGTGGGTGCCCGGGCACACGCCTGCCCCGACTGCGGCAAGACGTTCGCCACGTCCTCCGGCCTCAAGCAGCACAAGCACATCCACAGCACGGTGAAGCCGTTCATATGTGAGTTTCTGGCGGGGCTGCGAGGGGCCGGGTGGAGAGGCCAGAGGTCAGGCACACGAAGTGGCCCCACGGCTTGCTCACTTTCAAAGCCGCCTCATCTGCCTGGCACGTGCTGAGTCACCATACCAGCTCTGCTGAGTCACCATACCAACACTGTGCTAAGTCCTCACACCAACTGTACTGAGTCATTTTGACCAGCTCTGTGCTGATCACTCGTACCAGTTCTGCTGAGTCATCACACTAACTCTGTGCTGAGTCATTCACACCAGCTTTGCTGAGTCATCATACCAGCTCTGTGCTGAGTCATTCATTCAGATTTTGCCGAGTCATCATACCAGTTCTGTGCTGAGTCATCATACCGCTTGTGCTGAGTCATTCATACCAGCTCTGAGTCCTCACGCCAGCTCTGTGCTGAGTCATCATACCAACCCTGTGCTGGATCATTCACGTAAACTTTGCACCAAGTCATCTCTCTCACACACACACACAGACACAGACACACACACACACTTTGCTGCGTCATCAGTAACTGAAGATTTCAGAGTCTCAGAGGAAGTTGTGTTCTGTGCTGTGCACAGATGCTATGGATCTCACCAAGTCATCCTGCACAATTTCTGGTACACCCTTAGAAAATCCCAGAGCAGTGGCACTCAGCCTTTCCACCCCAGCACACAGCCCATGCCAGACCTGTACTTGAAAACCTGCATTCTAGAGCAAGCAGAAACGCACCCTGGCATGTTGTGGACTGGCCCTCAGGGACCATCCATCACGCAGGGCAGTGTTGGGCTCTCAGCCAGGGGTTCTGAGCACAGTACCCCCGCCCAAGAGTCGTGCCTGTCTAGAGCTACCTAACCTGCGGCCCCAGGGCCACTGATAGCCCCTCGAGGAGGCCCAGGGGACCCAGTCAATGCTCACAGCTCCGGCACCTGCTCGGAAGCCTGAGGGGCACAGGGGTGGAGGCAGCGGCCTTTCCCCACCCCCCAGCAGACACGCTCTGCTATGGCACCAGAGACCCCCTCCAAGAGCTGGTGAGCCCCAGAGCCACGTTCTGCAGAGGATGGAGCGTGGGGGGCAGCTCCCCTCGGCCTTTGCCAGCTGCCAGAGAAAACCCCGAGCCTTGGCCAGATGGCAGTGGAGACACCTCATTCAAATCGGGTGACAGATTTAGGGAGCAGCTGGACATGAGAACTCAGTCCACAGGCCTGAGGGGCGAGACCTGGTGCCAGCAGGGAGGCCCAAAGCCTGCAACCAACAGCCCCCTCGGAAGCACCCGCTTGACACCCCCTCACCGTCCACTACCTGGGCAGCGGCCAGTGGGGAGGGGAGCACAGGGCGCTCACATGTGTGCATGCAGTTCCCAAGCGTGTGCAGGGTGTCTGCATGGGGGTATGTGCAGATGTGAGTGCATTGTGGGGTGTATGCAAACATGTGGTTGTGTGCACTCGTGCATTGTGAGATGTGTGCGCACATGTCTGCATGCATGTGTGCGGTATGCACATGTGTGGTGTTCACGTGTGTGCATGCGTGTGTGATTTCACCATGTGTGCACGTGTCGTGGCACGTGTTTGTGTATGTTGTATACATGTCCGTTGTGTGCACTGCTCTGTGTTGTGTGCATGTCTGTGTGAGTTGGGTGCAATGCTGTGTGTTTCATGCATGGCCATGTGTTGTATGTATTGCTATGTTGCGTGTGCGGCTATGTGTGGTGCATGCATAGCTGTGTATTGTGCGTAGCTGGTGTGGCTGTGTGTTGTGTGTGTGGCTGTATGCTGCGTGCATGTCTGCGTGTGTGTTGCATGTGTAGCTGCGTGTGTGTGTGTGTTGGGATCGATCCCAACGCTAGGGCAGCAGCAGACAGGTGCTCCCTGCCCTCCCGTAACGCCTGTGTGTGTGTGTGCGGCTGTGTGTGCTCCAGTGGCCCTGGCTGAGGACAGTCTGCGGGGCCCGGGTCTCTCTGAACCCCAGGCCAGGGCCCCCTCCTGGGTGCTGAGTCCCACACCAGCTCCCTGGAGGCGGCCAGGCTGTTCTGGGGCCCCACAGACTCTGCTGTGACCCGTCCAGCAAGGGCGCCCCATGTCCCAGCAGTAGACGTGCCGCTCGCCTGGGAGGGGGCGTCCGAGCCCCTCAGGGCGGGCGCTGGCCGGTGGGAACACAGGCTGTGCAGGCAGCGCTGCGCGGTGTAGGGGATGGGTATTTATAGCAGGTCCCCGCGGGGCACTGCGCCTCCCCAAAAGGGCAGATTGGATGAAACGAGGCAGCAGAGCCTCAGCCCTGCCAGCGTCCCGCCCCGCCAGACAGCCGGGAAATATAAATAGATTCCGTGATTAGAGCTCAGCTTGGTGGGGGCCCACGTGGTCTGCTGGGGCAGCTGGAGGAAGTGAGTGCCCGCCAGAACACAGGTGCGTGTGTGCCACCACTCTGCTCCCGTCCTGGGGAGAAAGACAGGGGACAAGGAACCATGGGAGTCGCGGACACTCGGGGCCCACAGGCCTTGGGTACCCACAGGGCCCACTGCCCACCCGCGTCCAGTTCGGCAGCACTGCCCTCTGCTGGCCAGAGCTGGAATGGCATGCTGTCACTTCTTCAGCCCCAGCCCCTCCTTCCCCGGGCATTGTTCCTGCACCCCCGAACACCATCAAGGCCACCAGTGAAGACCCCAAGTCCCAGCCTCCATACAGCACCCAGGGGGCTGGCCGCATGGCGCGCGGTCACAGGCCGTGCAGAGGGAGTCAGGGCCTTTACCTGGAGCTGGATCCGATTTGGGACATGTACTTCACCCACAGGGCACAGGTCCATGAGCTCCTGCTGTCCACCCGGGGGCCAGTCCACAGCTGGCCTCCTGTTAGGAGTGGGCAGCAAAGGGAGAAGACAGGCTGGCCTGGCAGCTGGTGATGGGAGGGGGGGTCTGGGCAGGCTCTACACGCGTGTTCACACGTCTGAACACACAAATGCAGGCACCCCACACGTGAGACGTGCAGTTCCACACACAGCAGGTACCCATGCACACAGATGCCTGCAGGCGTGCAGAGACACATGTGTGCACAGCAACGCCTGCACGCAAATACACGGGAATGTGCACCCAAGAGATGTGGCTGCCTGCACGACACACACGCATGCACGCATGCAAACAGCCATGCACCCACACATGTACACAGCCACTCGGATGTATGTATACAGCCACGAGCACAGCCATGCACAAACATGCACACCCGCATGCATACATGCGCACAGCCACGCACGCACATGCACGCATACACAGCCAGGCCCACATACCTGCATGCGTGCTTACACACAGGCCAGCCCTGGGGCGCCCGCCGTCCCGGCCATCCACAGCCTGTGTCTGCTCCTGGCCCGCAGGTGAAGTCTGCCACAAGTCCTACACGCAGTTCTCCAACCTGTGCCGACACAAACGCATGCACGCGGACTGCCGCACGCAGATCAAGTGCAAGGACTGCGGGCAGATGTTCAGCACTACCTCCTCCCTCAACAAGCACCGGCGCTTCTGCGAGGGCAAGAACCATTACGCGCCTGGGGGCCTCTTTGCCCCGGGGCTGCCCCTGACCCCCAGCCCCCTGCTGGACAAGGCCAAGCCTCCGCCCAGCCTCAACCACACGAGCCTCAGCTTCGGCGAGTACTTCCCCTCCAGGCCCCACCCCGGCGGCCTGCCCTTCTCCACGGCGCCCCCCGCCTTCCCCGCGCTCACCCCCGGCTACCCCGGCATCTTCCCCCCATCCCTGTACCCACGGCCTCCGCTGCTGCCGCCGACGCCCCTGCTCAAGAGCCCCCTCAACCACACCCAGGACGCCAAGCTGCCCAGCCCCCTGGGGAACCCGGCCCTGCCCCTGGTCTCAGCCGTGGGCCACAGCGGCCAGGGCAGCACGGGGGCCGCAGGGCCCGAGGACAAATTTGAGGGGGCCCTGGAAGACGCGTACGCAGAGAAGCTCCAGGCACGCGGCAGCGACGTCTCCGACGGCAGCGACTTCGAGGACCTCAACACCACGACCGGGACCGACCTGGACACCACCACGGGGTCAGGCTCGGACCTGGACAGCGACGCCGACAGTGACCGGGACCGGGCCAAGGGCCAGAGCAGGGCGGCCGAGGGCAAGGTGGAGCTGGGGGGTGGCGGAGCGGCGCCCCCTGGAGCGGCCGGTGGCGCCGGGGACCTGCCGGTGTTCTACTCGCAGCACGCGGCCTTCTTCCCGCCTCCCGACGAGCAGCTGCTGGGCGCGGCGGGTGCAGCCGGCGACTCCATCAAGGCCATCGCGTCCATCGCGGAGAAGTACTTCGGGCCGGGCTTCATGGGCATGCAAGAGAAGAAGCTGGGCGCGCTGCCCTACCACACGGTCTTCCCCTTCCAGCTGCTACCCAGCTTCGCCCCCGGCCTCTGCCCCTTCTCGGACCGCGCCCTCGCCCACAACCTGCTGGTCAAGACCGAGCCCAAGTCTCCCCGGGATGCGCTCAAGGCGGGTGGCCCCGGCGGCGAGTCCCCGTTCGACCTCACCACCAAACCCAAAGACTCCAAGCCCGTCCTGCCCACCGCTCCGGGCCCTGCCACCCCCGCTGTCCCCGAGGAGCAGCCACTGGACCTGAGCGTGGGCAGCCGCGCGCGAGCCAGCCAGGACGGAGCGGCCCGTGCTGCACCTCGCAAGAACCACGTGTATGGGGAGCGCCGGCCGGGCGCGGGCGAGGGGCTGCCCCCCGTGTGCCTGGGCCAGCTGCCCGCCCAACCCTCCCTGCACTACGCCAAGCCGTCGCCCTTCTTCATGGACCCCATTTACAGGTACCGGCACACCCCACGCTGGCCCTGGCCCTGCATGGGCCGCTCAGTGACCCACCTGTGCTCCGCTCCAGTGGCGGGGAAGCTGGGACTCAACAGGGTGCTGGCCCCCGCGAGGGGCGGAGGCTGCAGACCCCCACCCACGCATGCGCTCTGCTGGCCCAGTCGGGGCTGGAGGGGCTGAGAGGGGCGAGCCCAGCCTAGGGCAGGAAAGCAGCAGGGTTGGGGTCTGGGCACAGCGAGCCAGGGCTGGGGGGGGGGGGCCCTCTGGGGCCCTGTGGACAGCAAGGCCTGGTCTGTGCTTGCCTGGCTGGCGGCAACTCAGCCCTTCGCAGTACCCCAGATGGGCCCCAGGCACCACCTGAGCCCCACTGGGCCCTAAACCTGACAAAGCAGCAAACAGGCCACGCTGGGTCTCACGGAGGGGCATGGGAAGGGGTGGTCCACATTCCGGCCAGACCTCCAAAGCAGCCAGGCCGAGGGCCCCGCCGCACCCTGCCGGTCACCTCACTTCCACCTGGAGCCTTTCTGGGAAGCCCCAGGTGCAAGGTGATACAGGCCTCCCCCCGGCCCTCTGGGGTGGCAGCCAGGCAGGGCAGAGGCCCACCCCCACCTGCTCAGGGCTCACTCTCAAAGGATGGACAGGGCAGGTCCTCAGCCCTGGCGGGCCCAGGTAGGCCCCTGACCTCCCTGGATGTCACCAGGCTGTCCTGTCACAGGGCAGGACCTGCCTGTGGCTCCAGTTGGTGCCTGTGGGGTCACACGTGCCCCAGCCCCTCCCTCCAGGGTTTCCTGGGCCCCTGGGACAAGGGCCACCCCACCCCACCCCACACAGCCAGATCCCAGGACCCATGATGCCCAGAAACCACTGCATTTTATTTTTTTCTTCTTTTTTTTTTTCTTGGCTTTTTGAGTCACACCTGGCGGTGCTGAGGGGCCCACACATGGGATGCCAGCGACCAAAGCTGGGTCGGCCGTATGCTAGGCAAACGGCCTCCCCGCTGTGCCGTCGCTCTGCCCACCCACCCCCACTGCACTTCCTGTGTCTCCCCGGGGCACCAAGGGGCCACATGGCAACACCCCTTGTCACTGATCAGCGAGCTCCACAGTCCTGGGAAAGTTCTGGAACTATCCCCCTTGGAATGGTCCTGAGCTGTGTGGTCACGTCCTGCCTAGCACCTCCCAGGACAAGGAGGGACCCAAGGGACCCAGGGACACGTATTCTGCTGCTGATGCATGAATAGGGGCAGGGCTTCAGAGAAGACTCTGGACTCTGCACCCCGGGTGGGCTGGTGAATGGAGGGTCTGTGGGACCCCAGCCTGCCAGGCGGGGTACGTAACCCACATCTTGCTGTCCAGCAGGGTGGAGAAGCGCAAGGTGGCCGACCCCGTGGGCGTCCTCAAGGAGAAGTACCTGCGGCCGGCCTCCCTCCTCTTCCACCCCCAGGTGAAGCCTTGGGCTGGGAGCTGAACCCTGGTGTGGGGGCCCAGCCTCGGTGCCTGCGGCAAGACCCCCAAGGGGTCCGCAGCTGAGTGGATGCCCAGCATTGTTTTTACCGCCCACACGCCCACACTCCGTGCTCGCATTGTTCCCTGCCGCCCCACACATCCTGCGTTTGTGTCCCGGCTCCCGGCAGGCCTGATGGGGGCTGTGGGACAGTGGCGCATTGTCCCTTCCGCCCACACCCCCAGGTGCCTAAGAGGGGTTCTGAGGCTTCTGTGCAGCCCGGGGCGGAAAGGGCTGGCCTGAGCAGGGCGTCGGCTTACATCCGAGGGTCACCCCCAAGGACTGTGAGACGGGGTGCCCCCACAGAAGAAGGGCTCCCTGGGTCAGAGATCCCCCGGGCCGCAGCAACTCTTCCTGGGGACACTCAGCGGTGGCTGCCCACCCGAGAGCCGCAGATGCCCTGCCCAGTAGTGACAGAAGCTCCTCCGAGCCCCTGTCCCTCAAGTGCCCGGTGCCTGCTGCAGGGGAGGGGGCCAGGGCTGCTGTGATGGTCGTGGGGGCGCTGGCCTTTGTGAGGGCAGGGCTGGCGGCCTCGGTGGCTGGTGTGCATGTCCTCCAGCAGGAGCCCAGAGGGGCTGCCCCCTCCCTTCCCCTCCCCTGGAGCGCTGCCTGGTCTCAGGGCATGGACTCCCTCCAGCTCAGACAGGCAGCTCTGGCTTTCCAGGCAGTGGCCAACAGCACCCATCGTGTGACTGTCCACGGAGCAGGGGCTTCACGTCCCCTCTCCACGCAGACACCACATGGGGGTCCCGCGGGCCAGGGCTGCTGGAGCCCAGCCACTCCACCTTTCAGCCCCTAGCCTTGGGTGGGCTTTTCAGTGCCCCCTCTGCGGCCGTCGCCTCGGGGGCACCTGGCCGGTGGGGAGGGGCTTGCCGCGCAGGACCCCAGAGCGCAGGCCCTGAGTATCCCCGCCCGCAGATGTCAGCCATCGAGACCATGACGGAGAAGCTGGACTCCGGCGGCGCCCTGCAGCCCCTGCCCCACCACCCCTTCAACTTCCGCTCCCCGCCGCCCACGCTCTCGGACCCCATCCTCAGGAAGGGCAAGGAGCGCTACACGTGCAGGTGGGCCGCGGGGCGGGGCTAGTGAGGGGCGGGGCCAGCTATGGGGGCGGGGCCGAGGTGGGAGCTAGGCCAGTGATGGGCTGGGGGCGGGGCTAGTGCTGCATGGGGCCAGTGAAGGGTCAAGGTGGGGGTGGGGCCGAGGTGGGTGCCAAGCCAGTGATGGGGCGGGGCCGGGGCCAGGCGAAGCTAGTGCTGCAGCAGGGCCAGTGATGGGGTGAGGTGGGGGCAGGCCAGGGCGGGGGCTAGTGCTATATGGGGGCCAGTGAGGATCAAGATGGGGGCGGGTCCGAGGTAGGAGCCAAGCAGGTGGTTGGGCAGGGGCGGGGCCAGGGCGGGGCTAGTGCTGGAGCAGGACTAGTGATGAGGTGGGGGTGGAATCAGGGCGGGGCTAGTGCTGCAGCAGGGTCAGCGAGGCTCAAGGTAGGGAGCTGGTCCGAGGTAGGAGCCAAGCAGGTGATTGGACGGGGGCGGGGCCAGGGCGGGGCTAGTGCTGGAGCAGGGCCAGTGATGGGTCAAGGTGGGGGCGGGGCCGAGGTAGGAGCCAAGCCAGTGATTGGGCGAGGGTGGGGCTAGTGCTGGATCAGGGCCAGTAGGGGGTGGGGGTGGGGCTAGTGCTGGATCAGGGAGGGTGGGGGCGGGGCCGAGTGGGTGCCAAGCCAATGATGGGGTGAGGTGGGGGCAGGCTCGGGTGGGACTAGTGCTGCAGCCGGGCCAGTGATGGGCGAGGCCATGGTGGGGGCAGGGCCAATGATAAGGTCCGGCCAGCGGCAGAGACTGGGTCAGCGCCGGGGGCAGGACCAGTACCCAGGTCAGGCCAGGTTTTTGGGGTGCACCTGGGGCCACTACAAGACTCAGCTGCACCTGGGCAGAGTGGGAGCCAGGAGCTGGGCTGGGCCTTGAGGACCCAACCAGTCATGGGCGTGAGCCTCACGTGCTGCCTGGCACCCAGGTACTGTGGCAAGATCTTCCCCCGGTCAGCAAACCTCACGAGACACCTGCGGACGCACACTGGGGAGCAGCCCTACAGGTAGGGGTGCACTGGGCCGCGCGGGCTCTGGGCCCAACTGTCCGCCTGTGTGGGGGAGGGGCCTGAGGCTTTGAACACTCAGCACCCAGACACGGGTGTCACTGGGAGGGGCTCCTTCCCAGTCCCCTGGGACTGTCCGTGCTGGGGGCAGCCCAGAGGCTCCGGCAGCCAGTGGGCTGAGGTCCCCATGCTTCCTGCGACTCCTCGGGATCCCCGTCTGAACGTCCACGTGGGCAGGGGCCCCCCAGTGCTCCCAGCGCCGCTTGCCCAGCCCAGCTGCCCAGCTCCAGTATCCCCCAGATGTCTTCAGCCTGCATGTGTGGCGTGGACAGGGCCAGCCTGACACTGCCCAGGGTGCCGTGCCTGAGACGCAGGCACCCCAGGGCTGGGGGGACGGAGAGCCCCCACACAGCCGCCACAGAGGCCGACGCCATGCAGGCACCCATGCTGAGCCCACCCTGGGTAGCTCTGTCAGCCACGTGCACATGCTGGGTGGGTGCCCTGAGTCCCCCACAGCCCAGCCTGGGGAGCGCCCCCCCCCCGACCTGGCCTCCATAGAGGCATCGGGCTCTGGGGGTCCCCACTCTGCACCCAGGACTCTGCCCCAGGCTTCTCCAGGCCTCCCGAGCCCCCCTATAGGATGGTGAAGTCTGCGCGGGCAGACTCCCGGTGAGCGCGCCAGGAAAGCCCTCACATCCCACCTCCAGGAGTGGCCCCGCACATCCCCACAGCGCCCCCTGCTGCCCTTCTCCCTCAGCGCCCTGCACGGAGCAGAGCAGCCTGGGGTCCCCTTGGTCCTGGGCAGGGAACACAGCTGCCACCTCTTCTTCAGGGGACCAAGGAGCCCCCAGAGAGGGCGGCGAGGACGCACAAGGGCCCTGTAGGGAGAGAGCGGGGGAGGGAGACAGGGTCCTGGGGTCCGTGGGAGGAGCAGGAGGTGGGGGTGGGGTGGGGTGGGGTGCATCCGCGGCACACGGCTGCCCCCTGCAGGTTGAAGGGAGCATGTGCCCGGCCTGGTGAGAGGCCTCGCAGCAGATCCCTGGCCCGGCTTTAGGCACTTCCCCGGGGAGACAGCCTGCTCAGGGACTGGCCAGCAGCCCTGCAGCCCCGCTCTGGGCTGCCAGCAGGACCCACACCCCTGCTCTGAGCACCAGCAGGACCCACACCCCTTCTCTGAGCACCAGCAGGACCCACACCTCTGCTTTGGGCACCAGCAGGACCTGCACCCCTGCTCTGAACAGCCAGCAGCCCCCACCCCTGTCCTGAGTGCCAGCAGCCCGCACCCCTGCCTGTCCTGAGCGCCAGCAGCCCGTGCCCCATGGCTCTGCACCCCACCCCGCAGGTGCAAGTACTGCGACCGCTCCTTCAGCATCTCATCCAACCTCCAGCGGCATGTCCGCAACATCCACAACAAGGAGAAGCCCTTCAAGTGCCACCTGTGCAACCGCTGCTTCGGCCAGCAGACCAACCTGGACCGCCACCTGAAGAAGCACGAGCACGAGCACGCGCCAGGTACGGGCCCGCCGGTGGGCGGGACCGGGCTGCCGAGGCGCCCCTCTCATGCCCCTGTCCCCGCAGTGAGCCAGCACGCCGGCGTCCTTGCCAACCACCTGGGCACTGGCGCCTCCTCCCCAACCTCTGAGTCCGACAGCCACGCACTGCTGGACGAGAAGGAGGACGCCTACTTCTCCGAGATCCGCAACTTCATCGCCAACAGCGAGATGGGCCAGGCGTCGGCGCGGGCAGACTCCCGGTGAGCGCGCCGGGAAAGCCCCGGGGTCACGCGTGGCCACCACCTCAACTGGGCTCAGCACCCAACCCAGAACTAGGTGCTCACCCGGGAGTTCTGCCTCTGATACCACCCATGCACCACACACCAGCACACACGTGTGCAGCTGTGTTGAGTGCACATGGCAGCAAGTGCCTGCGTGCAAATGGGTGAGCGGGTGAGTGCACGTATGTGAGTGCTCGGGTGTGAGCAGACTGAGTGCACATACATGATCAGGAGAGTGAGGGCACATTTGTAACAGGTGTGTAGGTAAACAGTGAGCAGGTATGTGAGTGTGCAGGTGTGAGCAGGTATGAGTGCATACGTGAGCAGGTTGTGGTGCACTTATGAGTTGGCATGTGATACATGGATGAGATCAGGTGTGAGTGCACATGTGATCAAGCGTGTGATGCACGGTGGGGTCAGGTGTGTGAGTGCACACATGTGATCAGGTGTGTGATGCATGGTGAGATCAGGTGTGTGAATGCACATGTGTGATCAGACGTGATGCACGGTGAGATCAGGTGTATGAATGCACAGTGGGATCATGCGTGTGATACACTGTGAGTTCACAAAATAATGTGCGGGTGCTAAGACAACCAACGCGTGTGCATGTGTGCGTTCAGTGGCCCTGAGCCACCTCCCCTCCTCCCCAGCAGAGAGACGGGGACCACAGCCTGATGGGGGAAATGCCCGTCTAATGCAGAGCTGCTAGCATCCTTACAGAATATCTGTAAGTTATGTGAGGTCAGGATATAGGCGTGATTGCTCATTTACATATGGGAATTTATATAGATCATTTACATAGGAAGTCATTAGCATAGGAAATTCTCTTTGGGAGATTAATTCAAGGATGCACTCTGTTTTCCGGGACATCTACATTGCTTTTATCTTTCCCTCTAGTTGTATATGTTATCAATATTTGCAGTTGTTTGAATAAACACAGTAAGACAACGATCCCAAAACTTAGTTCTCTGGACTCTGAGAGCAAGCAGGGCTTTTACCGTAAATCCCAGACTAACTTTCCTCAGGCTAGTTCAGCTTGTCCTTCCCCATAGGGGTCCTGTCTCTTCAGTCATAACAGCTTGCATCCAGACCATACATTTATACTTTCTAGACTGTCCGATTTCAATGCCGGGGTACCTTTGCCACACTTTGCCACTCGCCCCTGGTTCATCCATGGCGGAACCTCTCTTGAAGGGTGTTAAGAACCACTGCAACTGAAACCTTAGTCAAGTAATTGTGACTAAGCCCAGTAGTAGATATATTTCAGAGTCGGTCAACTCCCAAATATTAAGAGCATAGCATTAATGGCATTTCTGTGTTTAACCAAAGAACATTGCTCTGCAGTAAAATATGAAAAGGCTATAAGGAAATAGAAAAGCTGGTACAAATACACAGCACTTCAAATACAAAGCTGTACAAATACAAAGTCCAGAATTACCAGAAAGTTTACCTTGTAAGTAACCAAGACTGACTTGGGGAACTGTGACAGTGAGGGGTAAAATAGGTTAAGGATAGACTTTGACTATATTAGGGATGCTGGAAGGGCACAGTAAGCCGCTCTGGGAGGAGGAAAAGGGGCAACACTGATGAAGCCTGAGACACTTAGGGTTAATATCCAACAGTGCACAATGGGGTCAGGCGTGTGAGTGCTCATGTGTGAGCAGGCGTGTGATGCAAGGTGAGATCGGGTATGTGAGTGCACACGTGTGATCAGGCTGTGATGCACAGTGGGATCAGGTGTGTGAATGCACGTGTGAGCAGGGTGTGATGCACATGTGAGCAAGTGTGTGATACACGGTAAGATCAGGTATGTGAACACATGTGTGAGCAGGCGTGAGTGCACACTTGTGAGCAGGCGTGTGATGCACAGTGGAATCAGGTGTGTGCAGAGCAGAGCTCATGCCATGATGGGTCCCACCTGGCCACGTTGTCCCTCGGGGTCCTGGGGTAACTGCTTCCGGGCTCACCCTGCATGGGGTCTGGGAAGGCTTGCGGGGGCCCCTCCTGACACCTGGCAACCTGGGCTGGACTCCTGAGGGGGCTGCAGCCCCTCTACCCCTCCGGAAGCCCGAGCCCAGCGGAGACTCACCACACAGGACAATCCCCACCTGGCACCGGGGGCTGGGCAGGGCCTGGCAGGACGCCCGGCTCCCCACAATCACAGGCTTTGAGTGCTTAGTTCAGCAGAACCACACCCAGGGCTACACACTGAGCAAGAGGGTACCTTTCCCCCCAAGTTTCCCACCCTCAGCCTGCAGTAGTGCTCCCTTTCCAAGAGGAGGCCCGGGCTAGAGCCCCCAGACCCCAGCCCAGGGATCCTGACATTAGGGCAGAGGTCCCCTCTCCCTCCCAGAGGCAAAGGAAGCTTGTGGAGTTTGGGGGTCCAGGGTGCAGCTGCAGGGAAGGAGTCCACTCCCCCTCCCAGACGGGCATCCCTGCTCTCCGTGGGAACCCAGCAGGCTGCCCCCACGGCCTCACCGGCTGGCCGGGAGGAAGTGTGGCCCCTCCAGACCAGCGGCCTGCCTCAGCTTCCCCCCAAATGCTCTCCGTGCTGCCCCCTCCCCCGGCAAGGCTCATCTTGGTGACAGTGCGGAAGCTCAGGTCCTCAGGCAGACGGACGGACAGAGACAGCCTCGCCCTCCCCACAGCCACTGCAACTGGGGCTTCCTGCTGTGGACTTGGTGGCTAGCTCCCGTGTCCTTGCAGGCCAGAGGGACAGGACCTCGACAGTGCCCCCCAGTGCCCGGGCCTGGTAGAGGGGAAGCCAGATGATGTGGAGGAAGAGGAGGAGGAAGAGCTGGAGGAGGAGGACGAGGACAGCCTGGCGGGCAAGTCCCAGGAGGATGCAGTGTCCCCCACCCCCGAGCCCCAGGGCACCTACGAGGACGATGAGGATGACGAGCCTCCCGCCACCCTGGCCGTGGGCTTCGAGCACACCCGCAGGTGGGTGCCGCCCACACTGCCCACAGCGCCTCAGGGCGGCCTCACCCCTTGGGCCGCACCTGCAGAGCCACGCACAGCACGCCCATAGAACACGCATGCACATGCCACACACACCACAACTGCACGTGTACAGTGCATCACACATCACACCACACACATACCACATATCACACCACACGCATCACATATATCACACACATCACATATATCACACGCATCACATATACCACATCACATATACATGCCACATGTGCACATAAAGACCACACATACATATCCAACATCTCATGCAAGCACTACACACGACAGATATAACATACATGTACAAGTCAAACATGCATATACACGACACAGGTACCACACACCACATCACACATACATAGGATTCACATCCACCATACAAATCATATGTATGCATGTCCCATGTCAGTACATTATGCATGCATTATCACATATCACATACACTACACATACCCACTACACACATACCATACCACATATCATACACATACCATAGACATACATAGTGCACGTATGATCCCCACACATGACACACATAGACATCACATGCACTACTCATGCCACATACCACACATACCACACACATACACCACACAAGTACATCGCACATACATACATATACAACACACACGTACCACACACCGTATACCCATGAATTGCACACAATGCATACACAGCACATTTGTGCACTACAGACACAAACCACTGTAAGTCACATGCCTATGCCACACACGTGTATGCACACCCACACCATGGTCCTCGGGCAGACGGACAGAGGCAGCCTCGTATGCACATCATGTACATTTTCCACACACACACGTATATATATATATATATACTATATATGTGACATGCATGTACCACACTATACACAACAAACACATGTCACACCTAGGAATACACACCACACACATGCCCCAAATACATCGCACCACACACTGGATACGCCACACACTTACTACATATTATGCACATGCACTACACACTCATACTACACACCATAGACACTTGCATGCACACCTACATGCAAGTCATCTACACTTGCATACACCACATATGCCACATATTACACTTGAAATACACCCCGCACACACACCATGTGCATGTCATCATGCCTGCACAGGTGCTTCACGTGCACTACATACATGTACCACATCGTGCACACCAGGAATATCACACAACATACATGTATGTGCCACCCACTCACAACCACACACATGCGCCACATGTATTGCATGTACGCCACACTTGTCACAGATGCACATATGTACCAGAGGCCTGCTATAAACCATGTGCACCACACATGGAACAGGACAAACACCGTAGGTATAGGCACCACATGTCATGCTCGTGCATACACATACTCCATGCATGTCACACATGTGTGCACAATATACACGCATCGCACACATATCACAGTTCACGTGTGCCACATAGTACATGCATTTACACAACATGAGATCACACACCATAGACATGCTCCACACATATCACGTGTACACACCACGCATATAGTATACGGCACATAACAGTGCATCCCATCAGACATCACACATGCAGCATATTCACATCACACATACACATACCCTACATATTACACATGTGCACATACACATGCATTGTACGTTATGCATACCAATCACTCCACCCACACTGCAAGCACCACATACACAACTCACTGTAATACCACACTAGCACCAAACACGCAGCACATGTCAAGACCACACATGTGCCACAGAGACACGCTGCAGACTCACATACATCCATTCATGCAGAAATGCACAACATACACACCACAGACTCACCACACGCAGTTCTCACCCGCCGCAACCAGGATGCATGCCACAGTGTTTCACGTATCACGCTCTACGTGTGCCACATAATCACAAACTGACACTACACACAGCACATGCACACACGTGCACATACACATGCAGCCATTCGCCACACATACAACAAATTAGCACAGTGCACGTTCATATCACCGCACCACAAGCACACCACATCCTGCACACACTGAGACACGTACCACACAGACCACAAACGCCACTGCAGACACAGAACAGTAAACCACGCACATGCACTGCACACACCACGCGTGCACACACATACCATATACACCACCGTTCACATCACACCCGTGCACCGACTGTGCCCAAACACTATACATACCACATCCAGTCGCCCACGACTTCACACATATGCACCACAAACACACCACGTGCCACACATCACACCTGCCCACACGCAGCCACACTCTCACCAACACTCACGCCTAGGGCCGCATCTCCCGGGCTCGCCCCACGCGGCCAGGTGGCACTGCCATACACAGGACCCCCCGCGTGCCGTCCCCCACCTTCTGCCGCCGCTGCTCGCTGTGCACAAACTCGGCTCCGCCCACCGCGCTCCCCGTGTGCTGCGTCCCGTGTCCGTGTGTCCGCGTGTCCGTCTCCTGGTGCATGTGGCTCGTGGAGGGGCTGTGGTGTGCATGCAGGCTCGGGACCAGGCCAGAGCAGCTAACCGGCCTCTCCCGGTCCTTGGCGCAGGTGTCCTGAGCAGCCAGCAGGCGGGCTGTTGGCTCTGGAGCCGGTGCCGACTTTTGGGAAGGGGCTGGACCTCCGCAGAGCCGCTGAGGAAGCCTTTGAAGTTAAAGATGTGCTTAATTCCACCCTAGATTCTGAGGCCCTAAAACAGACCCTGTACAGGCAGGCTAAGAAGCAGGTAAGGCGCCCGCAGAGCCCCGCCCCCCGGGCCGGCCTCGGGCCAGCCACGCCCCTGGACATGAGGAGCAGGGCAGCGCCATTCCCCGCGTGGCCAGCGGGTGGCACCCGCGAGCAGTCGCCTGGCTGGCCGCCACCCCGGCCTCCACCACCCTCTGTCCAGTCTCCTGCATGAGGGACGCCCCGCCTCCGTCCTCCCCAGGACAGCTGCCCCCGGGTCTTTCCGCGCCAGCCCCCTAGCGTGTGTGTGCGTGTGTGTCTCGTCACTGATCTGTCCGGAGCGTGAGCTGGGCCTTCCCCGCACCCCTGCTGGCTGCCCGCCAGCTGTCGCCCGGCCTGTGGAGGTGCCCGTCTCGGCTCGGGGACAGACACTGCGATGCCCGCAGATCCCCAGGCACCAACACGGACGTGGAGACACAGGGAAGGTGCAGAACCCGCTGTCCCTCACTGCCTGTCCCCGCCCTGTCCCCCCCAGGCGTACACAATGATGCTCTCCCTCTCCGAGGACGCTCCCCTGCACGCCTCCTCCCCCAGCCCTCTGGACACTTGGTTGAACATCACAGGAGCCGCGCCCGAGTCTGGGGCCTTCGACCCTATGAACCATCTCTGAGGGGCCCGGTGGTGGCAGGGGTCGGAGGCAGAAGCTGGAGGACCAGGCACCCCGCACGCACCCGCAGACACCCCTGCTCGCAGGGGGAGGCTCAGCGGGACAAGTGTCCCTTTCTCCGCGACCTTCCACCCGCCGCACCTCTGCAGTGTTGCGTCCCCACAGAAACTCCGCTCTGGCTCCAAGAACCGCCCAGGCACCCAGCGGCGGGGAACACGGACTTGCACCCGGAACTGGGCCGGGGCACTCGGGCTCCGCAGACGGCGGCCACCCCGGGGATTTTTATATGGAAAACGGCGAGAAGGACCCTTTTGGTAATCTGATTGCCGACAGAATCTATTTAAGCATGTGGTTTTAAAGATAGACAGTATTTTTTAAAAACAAACAAAGAATCAGCAAATAACTTGCAGATTGTTTTTTTAAAGTAATTTTGCATCGCTTCAAAAGCTCAGTTGGTCCGTGCACCCGCGCCCGCCGGAACGTTCTTTTTACTGTAGATATGGCAGACGTTTTCTAGCCCTCAGCCTCTTGCCCAGGCGAGCCGATCCTGGGAGCAGCTGACCAAGCAGGAACTTTCTAGAAGATGTCCAGCTCCCAGGGGGTGGGACCGTGACTCGGGACAGCCCCAAGGACCGGGGTGTCAGGGCCATGGCCCAGGTTCGTGGTGTCCCCCCTCCCGACGGCAACCACAGCTCAGCAGACGGGCCAGCGGGGGGCAGGGCACCCAGGCTGGACACGCGCCGGACAGCTGCACGTGGGCCCGAGGCCACCTCTCCGCGGCCACCGGCGGCTTTAAGTTATTCCCGAGGGGCCAGTCTCCAGTGACACTTTCCCTGATGGAATTGACCTTAATCTGTATATAACTTGTAATTTTTTCTAATTCATTTCTTTTTCTTATTTTATTTCTTCCTTAACAGTATTTTTGGCATTAGACATTCTTATTGTGAAGAAACAATGTTAATATAAGTACCTAGCGAAGGACCAAAACCGTGTAATAAGGTGTGTCGAGTGCTTGATGCTCGGGGCCGCGGCAGCTTCTAATGTGCCAAATCTCCCCCACGCCCCGCCCCCCGGACCCCGCTGCCCTTCTCCAGACAATCATGTTTTTGTTCACTCTGAATTTCAGTCGCATTTGAAACAAGTGTTCTATTTATTTGTTGTTTGGAAGACAGAACCCTCGCATCCCCACGAGAGGCCACCCCGTTCCAGCTTTTAAACAGAAGCACGCAGCGTCCTCGGGGGTGCGGCCGGGGCCCCGCGGGGTGCAGAGCGGAGGCGGTGGCCGGGGTGTCCCAACCGTGTCCAGGGCACGCAGGACGGGCGATGGCGGCTGGACTCGGGCTGGCCACTGAGCTCGGAAGCTCCGCCCTGTCCTACCCGACCCGCTGGGCCGTGGGGCGGGGCCCCGGCCACTGTCCAACTGGCCACATGCGGCATCCACCTACCCGGCCCCGTGACCCCAGCCCAGGTGTACTCGGGGGTTGCTCGGCTCCCTCCAGATGGCAGGACCCCCAGACACCAGCGCCCTCTCCTGCCCATGGCCTATCCCAGTGGCGTCCATCTCTGTCCCCGCACCTGCGACTCCTCTCAGGGGACCCGCCCTTCCAACCTTGAGTCCCCGCTGCAGTGTAAGCCTCTGTTTGTCCTCCTGAAATGGGTTCTAATGAGCCGTTTTTCCAGAATGTTCTTCCCCTTGGCCTTGTAACACTTGGCAGATTCCAGAGCCTCTCCGGGCCCTCAGCAGAGGGCCACGGCCTCCAGGTGCAGAGAGGCCCCGGCCTGGCCTGTCCCCGCAGCAAGCCCTCCAGCTCCAGCCCAGGGCATCTGCCACTGACCTGTGGGAACGGGGGGAGTGGCATCACGGCCTGGGCAGCTTGGCCAGGCTCTGCCCTCCAGCCGCAGGCGAGGGGCCACTCTGGGAATGTGGGCATCTCTCTGCCCAGACCTCCTCAGTGCCTGTCCACCCTTCAACCAGCCGGACCTTCCTGAGTGGGCCCCGACCCCCTGATCAAAGCCCAGGGCACCCTGGGCGGCGCCACCTCCCTGAGCCCATTCCAACCCCTGGTGGCCACCCCAGCTGCCTGCCCTGCAGAGGGGGCCACTTCCCCTGCCCGCCGCCCCCCACATGTCACACATGTTTGCTTGGGGCCTCAAGTCCCGGGCGTGGCGCCGCCTGCCCCCAGCACCACATGCCGAGCTGTGTTCACTGTGTGGTCCTGGGGGGCAGCAACACCTGCCCAGGGCCAGCAGGTCCCCAGGGAACCTGCCGCAGTGGCCGCCCCGCCCTGTGTCCCTGCCTGCTTCCCCCGCCGCCCTCCCCCCATCACCCACGTGCGTTTGAACACTTGTGCAAACACCCGAACCCAAAGCAGCTGACGCTTCCAAACCTGCGGTCATGGCCGGGTGTGGCCCCTCCTCATTCCGGGCCCCCTCCCCCAGGTGCTGCCCCCTCCCCCCTGAGCTGGGCCGCCTGCCACGCCCGCCCCACGGCCACTCTGAGCTCTGTGTCCTCCGGGTTGTTGCTTTTCCTTTCAGAACTGTGGAGTGTGGACAGAGAAACCGCTGTAAATGCCCATGTCCACGCCATGCGCCCAGCCCGGCAGCCGAACGCCGCCTGTAAATCGCTCCCGCCCCGCGTAGACTGTGCATGGCGTGTTAGCATCCTATCGTGTCTGTGTGTGCCGTTTTGATGACAGGAGAATTCCGTAGATGCATCCACTGATCGCGGTCAGGGCCGCGCCGCTCCTGACCCCGGGGGGTGGAACACAGCAGCCGCGCCCCCACGGCGAGAGGATCCGAGCGATGCCGCAGGGCTCACGCCACGCCGTGACGCCGGCAGGTGGACTTGTGTAGAGGAGTCCTGGGGTAACCTAGGAGCCGCTGACCGGGGTCAGTGCTGTAGAATAGGACTGTATACCAAATGTAATCGCTCCGATGCTACAATGACTTTATACGGGAGATTGACATGCAATAAATCTGTGTGCTTCCTACACCTCTGCCTGGAAGTCTCGCCGCGGGCGGGGGCTGGCCGGGGGCGGGACCCCTTCCCAGGAGCCCCCCAGCACGCGCCCCAGCACTTCTCCCTTCTGGTGTCTATCCCGGTCTGCTGCCTGTGCCTGCCTCACTCCTGGGGCAGTGGAGACAGCCGGGACACGTCCTCGCCTGGTCCCACGCCGGCTGCCACCCTGGCCGTGAGAAGACTCCCCTCTCTACGTCACCCTCCCCGTTCCGAGGCCTCAGACCCCGGGGTGGAGTCGCCCGCGTCTTCCTGGTTATGCCGCCAGCCTGCGTGGGCCTTGGGGGGCTCAGGGCACTGGGGACAGTGGTACCAGGTGACGGGAGACTGCCTGGCCCTGCTGGTATGCTGTCCCCCCGCCCAGCCTTGTCCTGGCCTCATCCTAGAGCGCCCCCACCCTGAGCCTCCCCTTCCCTCCCCTCTCTCTCTGTCCAAGCTCCTTCCTCCACCCAGCTCCAAGGTTCCTTCCTCCACCCAGCCCTGCCCCAGGCAGTCGCACCCACCACAGGGGTGGAGCCCAGCTCCTCCTCACACTGGCACCCAGGACTCCCGAGGGCCCCACTCAGAAAACACTCTGCTGACTCGGGGCTGAGGAGGGACATTGGATTTAATCTTGACACCCCAAACCTGCCCCAAAATGCTCCCAGAGAAGGAAGGTTGCAGCAAGAGATCAATACGTGGAGGGGATATGGGCGAATGGGGATTAGAGACAGATGGGTGGTGGGTGGATGGATGGATGGATGGATGGATGGATGGATGGAGATGGATGAATTGATGGAAATAGATGGATGAAAATGGATGGATAGTGGGTGGATGGAGATGGATGAATTGATGGAAATAGATGGATGAAAATGGATGGATGGATGGTGCGTGGATGGATGGATGAATGGATGGAAATGGATGGATGGAAATGGATGGCTGGATGGTGGGTGGATGGATAGATTATGGATGGATGAGTGGGTAGATGGTGGAACAGCTGGATGGTGGATGGATGGGTGGTGAATTGGTGGGTGGATGGCAAATGGAATGTAGTGGATGAATGGATGGATTATGTGTGGATGGATTGATGGATGGATGGATTGATGGATGGATGGTGGGTGGACAGGTCAATGGTGGGGGATAGATCGATGAACGGCAGATGAGTGGACAATGGAAGAATGAATGGATGAGTGGATGGATGGATTGATAATCAGTGGATGACTAGACAAAAGTTGAATGGATCGGAGGTTGAATAGCTATAGATGAGATGGATTGTTAAACAAATAGATACAAACATGAGTGGAAGGACAGATGAGTAATGGGTGAATGAGTGATGGGTATGGGGAGAGCGGGTGGTCAGCGGATTCACGGATGTGGGAAAGAGGGGGGTGCTCGAGGGAAAGGCGGATAATGGGCTAGTGGCAGCGGTTAGAAGCGTGGGTAGATGGATCAGTGATTAGAGGATCATTGCAGACATGGTAGACAGGCGGGTGGACAGATGGGTGAATGGCAGCTGGACATTTTGGTCCAATGCTCAGTATGAACGGTGGAAACTCTGGTGCCCCCAGACATGCGAGCGCCTCGAGCTGCCCCGAGCCACCAAGGTGCCTGCAAGGAACCACTTCCCGTGGACAGTCCGTGGGCCCAGGTCTCGGGCTGGGCGTCTCCCCAGCAGGAAGTGGGAGTGTGTGCCCGGCCAGGTCAGACTATTCGAGGCTGCTGCTTCATGCGTTTCAGCCCCGCTGGTCAGATGCAAACTTGCCCTGGGAGCTGTGGGCACAGAGCGTGTGGAGGGCATCTCTCCTGGAAGGGACTTCAGTCCTGGAGGACAAACCCGTGAGGTCTCGCGCTGAGTGGCGGCACTCACAGTCCTTCGGGCACTGGGGAGCCTGCAGAGCCTTCCCAGAGCTGCTCCAGTGAAGTGAAAACTCTGCCTTTGTCCAGCAGGCAGCAGAAGTGCAGGGACCAGGGCTGAGAATAGCACCATTGTCAGCGCCAGGCGTGCTGC